GAGGAGGGCCGAGGTCCCAGGGCCGCGTCTCCTCTCCCCTCACTCCTGGGTGTTGCGGCGGAGAGTCCACGCCTGTCCCGTCCCGCGCCGGGGGAGGATAGGACTTCCTTTCCAGGAGCCCTGAGACTCGCTGCATCGGGGCTGGCCTGGGGCCTCGAGGCCGTGAGAGGCTATGTGGGGACTCCTGCTGGACAAGGGTCCTTCACCTGCGCTTGAGAGTGGAAGGTCTCAGCCCTTCACAGACACAAGGTCCTGTGCTTGCCCACTATTTTAAGAACCCACCTACCTTCTCTTTTCCCCCTCAGCCCTACCATTTGTCACCCACTCTTCTCCCCATGATAAGCCATCTCCCCGTTGCCCTCTGCTTTAGCACATCTGCCAGTCCTTGCTGGATTCTTAACCTCAATGGTGGCCTCTGCCATCTCCTAGGGATCTGACAGACATCTACTTGTTGCGTTCCTACATCCATCTGCGCTATGTGGATGTTTCTGAGAACCATCTGACAGACTTATCCCCGCTCAATTACCTCACCCACCTGCTCTGGCTCAAGGCTGATGGCAACCGGCTGCGGAGTGCCCAGCTGATTGAACTGCCCTACCTGCAGATTGCCAGTTTTGCCTATAACCAGATCACTGACACTGAGGGCATCTCTCACCCTCGTCTGGGCATCCTGAATCTCAAAGGTGGGTCCTTAGGATGGGCTACACAGATTCTTTCCTTCCTAACCTGGGGCCAACAGAAGTGGGCAGCGTGGTCCTTGGCTGTGCCGCGCAGCAGTTTGCATTCATTCCAACACATGATTCATTATGGCAGTTCTATGTACTGGAGGTAAAACAGTGAACAAAGAAAGTTCCTATTCTCATGCAGCTTACAATCTAGATGGGAGGATACAGACAATGAACACAATAAACACAATAAGTAACTTTATTCAGTAAGTTAAAAGGAGATATGTGCTATGGAAAAAATAGACCAGGGTAAAAAGAATGGAGGGGCACAGGTGGCAATTTCAAACAGGTTGGTTAGGACAAGTATCATTGAAAAGCTGACATTTAAGTCTGGAATTGTCTCTCCTTATATCCACCTGGCATTAGAGGGAGAGAAAGATGCAGAGGCTCCCAACTTTCAGGCTCTGCTGCTGAACATTTTGGAGTGGCCCTTTGAGCCTGCTCCTGCTCCTCTCCTGCTCCTCAGGGAACCACATCCGCATGGTGACAGGTCTGGACCCCCAGAAGCTGATCAGCCTACACACGCTGGAGCTTCGAGGGAACCAACTGGAAAGCACACGGGGAATCAACCTTCCTAAGCTGAAGAACCTCTTCCTGGTAGCTCACTGGGTCATAAGGTGGTTGGTGTAGGAAGAGGGCACTGTCCTGGGGACCAGGATGCCTGACTTCTCGTAGGCTCAGCTAATTTTATCATCATAACAATAATTGGCTCATATATTGAGCCCTTACTTGATGCCAGATGCCGTGGTGATGTAAAGTTAAAACAGACAAGGTGCTAACCACCTAGCAGGGCTGATAATACATAATATGTGGATAATACAGAAACGGTTTGCTTTGATACGGGTAGCAGCGTAATGTGCCATAACTGAGATACCGACATCAGGCTAAGGTGGCCACTTAAATGTTTAGTCATTTAGACTCTTGAGCTTCTTCATTCCAGGATGGTGCTGAAGTCATTTCACCTCAGAAGAGCATTGGGGCTCTTAGACCTGGGGTGGGTTGAAGCATTGCCTCCTTAATCAGAGGTGGCTTTGGTGGGATGAGCAGTCAGTAGGAAGTCACTGATGACCTTTCTCTGGACTGGCAGCTTCTCCTGAATTTCTTTTTTTTTTAAAATATTTTTTTATTGATTTCAGAGGGAGGAAGGGAGAGGGAAAGAGGGATAGAAACATCAATGATGAGAGAGAATCACTGATCGGCTGCCTCCTGCACACCCCTCACAGGAATCAAGCCCACAACCTGGGCATGTGCCCTGAACGGGAATCAAACCAGTGACCTCCTGGTTCATAGGTCGATGCTCAACTGCTGAGCCACACTGGCCGGGCTCTCCTGGATTTCTTTACTCTCATTACCGATCTCCAGCACCCTTCCCTATCTGCCTCTTAGATTTCCTCTTTTACTGCATCTTTTTATTTTTTTAAAAAATCCTCACCCAAGGATATTTTTTCTATTGCTTTTCAGAGAGTGGAAGGTAGAGAGAGAGAAACATCAATGTGAGAGAGACCCATTGATTGGTTGCCTCCTGCACGAGGCCCGGGTCAGGCCGGGGTTAGATCCTGCAACCACAGATACCTGCCCTTGACCAGAATCGAACCTGAGACCCTTCTGTCCGAGGGCCGGCGCTCTAACCACTGAACCAAACCAGCTAGGGTGCTGCATCTCTTTCTGACTTATCTTCCTTCCCTATCCCTCTCCCCTCTCCCAATGTGTCTACTGTAACCTGGAGTCTAGGCCCAGAACATGTTGAAGAAGGTGGAAGGCTTGGAGAACCTAAAGAATCTCACTACCTTGCATCTTCGAGACAACCAGATTGAAACTCTGAGTGGCTTTTCTGAGGAAATGAAATCACTGCAGTACCTCAACCTGAGGTATGCACCCCCCCCAGGCCCCACCTTGCTCCTACACTGACCAGGAGCAGCTTTTGACCCTGTGTTCTTCCCTGGCCCCAAACCTCCAGTCCTAGCCCACTCCCAGATTCTCACCTCATCCTCCACCCTGATCCTCAATCCCTCCTTTCCTTACTTCTGCGTTCAGTCCTAATTCCAACACTGAGATCTTTATAGCCTGATCCCCCGAATCCTTATGCATTCAATCCAAAGTTATTGAGAATGTGTTATGTGCCAGGCCTTGTACTGTGTTTTAGGGACATCTAAAGGAATCAGAGCCCTGGCTGGGCATTGCTCAGCGGTTGAGCATTGACCTAGGATCCAGGCGATCAGGGTTCGATTCCCGGTCAGGGCACATGCCCGGGTTGTGGGCTTGATCAATGACTCTCTCATCATTGATGTTTCTGTTTCTCTCTCTCCCTCTCCTTTCCTCTCTCTGAAATCAATAAAGATATATTTAAAATAAAAATAAAAAAAATAAAGGAATCAGAGCTGGTCCCTGTTCTCAAGGGACTCAGTCTGGCTCCAACTCTACTTTTTGGCTCTTTCCCATATAAGTTTCTACTCTGCTTCTCCATCTTCTGAGTCCCAATTCCCCTTCCTATTTCTTGCCTCTCTTATACTGAGCCCCACTTGTAAGGCCCCTTATATAAAACAAAAGATGTGCTCAGATGTGAGCAGAGAAGAATATTTGAAAGGAAATCTCTAGATTGAAAAGCACTGGGGACTGGGGATTTTCTTTCAGCAACTCTTGTCTGATGGAGGATTTTATGTGTGTTTCATTAAGCAAAGATGTAAGGAAACTGCCTCCTTAGTCAACAAGGCCTCTTTAGTCAAGGCTTGCAATAGAAACAGAATCTCCAAGTAGGGAGAGGTGGTTGCACCTTGCATCCCAACTCCAGCCCTAATTCATGGAGCAATCACGTGCTAATTAGCTCTGCCACATTGTCTGGTAGGGTGAAGGAGCTTCTGTTTTCCTGTTAATAGTCTAGGCAGGGATAGTGGACCCTTCTCAGTGGCTGTTCACTGGGGAGATTTGGAAGTAAGTGCTGTGGAGATGCATTTTCTCAATGACTAAGGAGTTGCATGTGAGGCCAAAGATGCTAAACCTCCTGCAATGCACAGGACGGTCCAGCACAAAGAGCATGCAGCGCTGCCAGTGAGAAACGGCACGAGGTTCAGCACCTCCGTTGAGATAAAGTGGAAACATTTAAGCCTGACTTCATAAAGGCTTGAAGCAAGCACGTGAAAATAACCAGAATACTGTACAATGAGGCATATTAGGAGATGAAGCTTGTTCTTCAGGCTAGGAGGCCTCAGCCCATCCCTACCTCTAGGTTCCTTCCAGTGGGGAGCACCAACATAGCACCCACCACCTTGAGCTTCAATCCCAGTTCCTTCTCCATTGGCCCAAGTCCCATCTTCTAATCTCTGATTAGGTGTCATTGACACAGAAGTCTGTCCCTGCAAGGGAGATGTCCCCCCTGCTCCCCAACTACAGGACTGCGTTGTGACCTAGATTTGCTGCTCCTAAAGGATAAATATGACACATTACAGAATAGAATATGGCCCCTAGGGATTCCTTGAAGGCCGGAAGCAGGACAGGAGTAGAGTTGGACAGCAACTCTCAGCAAATCTGGCAATGTTTGGCAGGCCAATCCACAGAGGCAGTGTTTCTAGGGAAACCGGAGCCCATGGGAAATTCCCCCAGAAGCCCCATTCCTGGCAGCTGGCCTCCAAAATCCGTTATTCCCCAGTGAACTCCTCCTGACTGCACCCACAGGGGCAACATGATAACCAACCTGCATGAGCTCGCCAAGCTTCGGAACCTGCCCAAGCTTCGAGCCTTGGTGCTGCTGGACAACCCGTGTACAGAAGAGAATGACTACCGCCAGGAGGCCCTGGTGCAGATGGCACAACTGGAACGTCTGGACAAGGACTTCTTTGAGGACGACGATCGTGCTGAGGCCAATGAAATTCGTCAGAGGATGAAGGAGGAGCAGGAGCAGGAGGCTGAGCCTGAGCAAGACACAGAACTAGACCAGTCACTGGTGTAGCAGCAGTTCTTCTAGCCTTCACGATAGTAAGGAAGCCTGCAGGGAGGCAGGAAGAGGAGGCCAAGGGCCTGGCACATAAGGGGAGAGAGAAGTTGCTATGGGAGGAGGTGGGTAAGGAAGGGATTAGGCAAGAAGGATTCTTGGAGAGATCAGGTTAGGAGTCAGGGGGTGTCTCGGTGAGGAGAAAGGACCAGCAGGGCTTAGGAGGAGCTGAGAAAAGGCTTAGGAGATACATCAGGAAGCTGGAAGAATAAGTGAAAAGAATTGGGGTGACAGGCATAGATGTTGGTGTGGGGTGGGCAGCCACATCTGACCTAGAGTTAAGATAGCTGGAAAGGCCAGGTCTGGGGAAAGGTGGTGGTGTATGAGGAATACAGCTGGGCCTAGGAGAGAAGTCAGGAAAGAAAGGTCCACTAAAAATCTGAGACTAAAACTAACAGGACATAGGGGATGGGGGAAGAAAGGGACTGAGGAGCTGAGCCCAGGGAAGTTAGTAGCTGGCACTTCTGTGGGGGCAGAGGCAGCAGTGGTAATGCAGCAGGGCCCAGTGGGTTTACTTCGGTCCTCTTCCTCCAGGGGATGAAAGACACTGGCCCCAAGACCCGAGAAGACTCCTAAGCAGGGGCCACCACAGGCACACCCCCATCCAGAGGCAGAGGATGCCTTCTCTCGCCCTGACCTGGGAATTCATCACAGCCTGCCGCCCAGGCTCTGTGTGGACATTTGGGCAAAGAGGTGGGTGGGCCTGAGCTCTGCCCGGAGCCTAGCAGCGGGCATCCTTCTGGCAGGCCTGATAGGAGCCAAACCTGGATGGGCAGAGGCGATGCTGGTAGAGTTGGCTGCAGAGGGGCTGAGGAGCCTGGGGTTTTAGGAACAGCTCGGGGTTCAAATAAAGAGACATTTTGATACTTTTGTGTCTGATCGGGTTTGGGAGATACCGAGTCTATCACGGGCTTCCCTGGCTGTGGCGGGCCTCAGGGATCAGATTACTCCGTGAGGCTATGCCTGTTACTTTCCAGGGGGTCGGGGCGTGGGCAGGAGCGTGCGTGGGCCCTGGGACAGGCAGGCTCTGGGTCGTCCCCAGTCCCTCCCGCATCACTTTCCCCTTCCC